AAAGAAAGCAAGAAAGAAAAAAATAAAAATAAAAAAAGAGAAAAAAAAATTGGTGGAGGACAGGGCAGGGGACTCAGACTCCATCTGAGCACACAGACTGTGATGGAGTTCCTGTGGGCCCAGAAGGTAGGTGGGAGTGGAGGATGGCCGCACCTCTGTTCACCAAGAGTAACAAGAGGAATGTTGTACCTTGTCAGTCTTGCAGGTCCCGAGTGTCCTTGGGGTTGTTGGCAAGCATAAAGTGCTCTTAAGACCCAGGAATCTGCGAGAGCGCTGTCTCTTTAAATATCCAAAATAGTCAAGCCGCTTTTCAAACCTTCAAAATGGTGGCGCCCTCCGGACGGGCAAAAGTCCACAGCTCAGCCCACCTTTGTCTTCACTTTTTCTGTTTGTTCCCTAGCCACCGTGCACAGTCCTCCATGCAGTCCCTGGCTAGCAGTGTGATTTTTTAGGTTAATTCTTAGGTCCTATCACCACTCGGGAATCTCCAAGCTGTCTGTGCCATCAGGATCGCTCAGGATCGCTGCCAGACCGCAGCTCCGTCTGTCTCCTTTTTTGGTATTTTCACGCAAATTCTTCTGCTAGTTGGGGTTTAGTTCACTTGTATATCCTTCTCTTCAAGGCTCAGGGGTCCAGGATTATCTTCTGTGCCTTTGTTAATTGGTTTCCCTTTTCTTTGTTGAAGAGGGTCTGTGCAGTCTTTCTGCCTAGTCCACCATCTTGCCGGATCCTCTATCACCATTTCTTTTTGTAGCACTGTTGTTATTATTTTAACTCTGCTTGGTGTAGATGATATATAAAGGTATCAGCAGAATGCCTGTAAAACTCTTGAACATACTGAAAAACCATTAGCTTATAGTTTATAAGATTAAATATATATAAAAGTATTGTTAAATGTGGTTGATTTAAAACTTTTCATGCCAGCAAGGAAAGTTTGGCTTCCTTGAAAGTTAGTATTAATTTATCTAAATAAAATATCTTAACTGAAGGGAGATAGTAAGCACAGAAGAATTATGAGTCACATTGAGGCTAGCTAGGGAGGGAGCATGAATGATCTCAAGCCTGCAGTGGTTGCCTTTGATGTGGAATAAGCCTTCCATTGGTTTGGATGAACTCTTTCTCAAGCTCTTTTTACTAATTCTATGACCACCAGGCTGTTTTGGATATTAATTTGTCTTACTAGGCACGCCAACACTGGAAAACGTGTGCTTCCTCCTTTGGAAATATTTGTTCATTCAAACTTTTTACTGATAACCTGCCATGTGCCAAGCATTCTAGATGTTAGGACAAAAGGAATGAAGAAAACAGGGGAAGTCATTTCTCTCATGGAGTTTTCAATTAGTGAAATAAGAACATTTGTATTACTGGAGGCAATATTTCTGATTATAAATTTAGTAGTGTTTTGGTTACCCAGTGCCACTCTGAGAAGAATATACCACAGATGGGATGCTTGAATAAATAGGAGTTTATTTTCTTACAGTTTGGAAGTTTTAAGTGCGAGTTCAAAGTGCCAGGCTCTAGGGGCTGGGTGAAATCCCCTTAACCTTAGGCTTCATCTTTGTCTCCTATTATTCTGACCCACTGAAGTTAGAGGCTTTTCTTCATTCAGACAGCTGCTGGCTGCTGAGACTGATAAGCCCAAGGTTGACAAGTAAAAAGGCACAGTCCTAATCTTACCAAACTACATGGCAGGCCATTAATTCAAGTCCATTGAACACTCCAAGGTCGGCAGAGCCTGGCAGGCTGCTGAACAACGACATGGCTACATGCAGGGTTCAAGCATGTCATAAGCTAGAAACCATTCCCCAAAGCTTCTCCTTATATACAGGAAGCAGACCACATCCTTAAGGCAGCTACTCAGCTGCTCCAATAGATTCCGCCAGCTATTCAGCCAGGCCCAACCAAGTTGACACACAAACTTAACTACCACAAGTATGTTGGTCTTCAGCCTCCTAAAGATTTATATCGGTCTCTGCTTAGTTTGTATAATATTACTCGGTTTCCCTGAGTCTTGTCATCTTTGAGACATTGACAAGAGCAAATTATTAGACATGAAATATCTGAGAACTAGAATCTGGACGATTATAAATTCACCTAGGAAATTCCATCCTGTGAGACTTCTGGACTGCCATCCAGGGAGTCTTTCTTTGAGGACAACTTTACTTTGCTATGCAACACTGCGGTTAAAGATACTTAATATTGTTGATGTCAGATGGATCTTGGCTGAAAACAGAAAATACCAGGAAGATGTTTGTGTATTTTATTGATAATACAAAGGCATTTGACTGTTGATAATAGAAATTATGGATAAAATTGTGAAGAATTGGAATACCAGAATACTTAATTGTGCTCATGAGGAACCTTACATAGACCAGGAGTCTGTTATTTGAAAAGAACAAGGGGATACTGCATGGTTTAAAATCAGGAAAGGTGTGTAGCAGGGTTGTATCCTTTCACCATGCTTACTCAATCTGTAGCTGAATGAATAATCTGAGAGGCTGCACTATATGAAGAAGAATGTGGCGTTAGGGTTGGAGGAAGACTCATTAACAACTTGCACGATATGCAGATGACCCAACCTTTCTTGCTGAAACTGAAGATGACTTGAAGCACTTAACGCTTGAAGATCAAGGAGTACAGCCTACAGTATGGATTATACCTTAACATAAAGAAAAAACAAAAATATGGACCAATAAGCAATATCATGATAAATGGAGAAAAGACTGAAGTTGTTGAGGATTTATTTCATATTACTTAGATCCACAATCAACTCTCATGGAAACAGAAGTCAAGAAGTTGCATTGGGTAAGTCTGCTGCAAAAGACATCTAAAAGTGTTAAAAGGCAGAGATGTCATTTTAAGGACTAAGGTGCACCTCACCTAAGCCATAGTATTTTTCAGTTGCCTCATATGCATGTGAGAGCTGGACAATGAATAAAGAAGACCAACAAAGAATTGAAGCATTTGAATTATGGTTTTGGCAAAGAATATTTAATATATCGTGAACTTCCAGAAAAATGAACAAATCTTGTGTTAGAGGAATTATAGCCAGAATGCTCATTAGAAGTGAAGATGCTAAAACTTTATCTTAGGTACTTTGGACATGTTATCTGGAGGGACCATTCAGTCCCTGGAGAAAGACATCATGCTCTATAAGTAAACGATCAACAAAAAAGAAAGATCCTCAACAAGATGGATTGACACAATGGCTGTAACATTGGGCTTAAACAGAGCAATGATTATCGGGATGGCACAGGACCAGACAGTGTCTTGTTCTCTTGTATGTAGGGTTGTAATGAATTGAAACTGACTTGACACCTAACAATAACAATAACATCTCATGAGTATCATGAGAGGACATACACACTGACTTGGCTATGATTATCATATTTATCTTCCTCCTCCTTACTTTTGTAAATTCTGTCAAAACGTAACATACAAACAAAAAAGCACAGAAATCACAAGTGTATAGCTTGATGAATTTTCACAAAGTAAATATACCCATGCATTCAGCATCCAGTTTTAAGAAACAGAGTAGTAACAGCACTGTGGACTCCTTCTCAATCCCCTTTTCAGTCACAGCCCCTTTCCCTCAAGACTTCTTATACCATACATTAATTTTGCCTGTTTTTGAACTTTATATAAATAGAAGTATATAGAATATAGTATGTGCTTTTTCGTGGCATCTTCTTTCACTCAGCATTATGTTTGTAATATTATTCATACCATTGTAATTTGCCTTTGTCATTGCTGTATAATGTTCTGTTGTATGAATGTAGTACAGTTTGCCCACTTTACTCTAGATGGATCTTTGGGTTGTTTTCAGTTTTTAACTATAACAAATAGTGGTCCTATGGATATTCTTATTACTTGAGTTTTAGTGAACATATGTTAGTATATGCCTAAGGGTCTTTGCTTTTTAAGAAACAGGATTTTTCATATTTTAATTTTCTGAAACTTAAATGACTCTTAAAATTGATGTGTAGGGCTCTCCCCCACCTCCTGAAATCTTATTATTTCTCCCTTTAAAATATTCATTATATTAATGGCATATTAGAATATTGTTGTTGTCATTAGTTACCATTGAGTTGACTCCCACTCATAGCAACCCTGTGTACAATGGAACAGAACACTAGCCTGGTCCTGTGCCAGCCTCACAATCTTTGCTATACCTGAGCCCATTGTTGCAGCCACTGTCAGTCCATCTTGTTTAGGGCCTTTTCCTTTTTTGCTGACCCTTCACTTTACCAAGCATGATACTCTTCTCCAGGTGCCTGAATATAGGGAATGCTAATTGCATCTTGGTGGTATAAAATTGCTTAAATTTGCTTTGATAATCATAGATTCTCCCAAGAAGTTCTTTGATTTTAAAGCCCTTTTAGATGTAATGTCAGGCTTTTAAACTGATAAAATATAGTTATTTAAAATTTTCTTCAGTAATTATTCCAGTAATACTTCATTTGTTCCTAGTAATGAGCATAAATGTATATTTTACATTTCTTTAGTGTGTATGTTCTGATTATTATTATTTTTACTATTTTCTGTTTGTTTTCAAAGGTTCGGTCATTGTGGGCTTCAGTAAATGAAACACTCAAGTTTTTGGAAAAAGAGAGAGAAGTTGTTAGTTCAGTCCTTAGTTTTGTTAACCAATATTCTTTAGATGGAACTAATGTTTCTATTAATGTTCCAAAACTCTTACTTGACAAAATTGAAAAAGAAATGCATCAGGTAAGCATTCTTTTATTACTTTTTATTATAGTTTGGGTGAAAGTTTACTAAGCACATTAGTTTCACGTTCAACAATTTATACACATTTTGTTCTGTGACATTAGTTGTAATCTCCTCAATGTCATAGCACTCTTTACCCTTCCACCCTGGGTTCCCTGTTTCCATTAGTCCTTCTGAGTTTTGTTTCTGGGCAAATGTTGCCCAAGGTAGGCATTTGAAAACTTCTGAGTAGTTATGATGGTGAATGTTTTTGGTGTATATATTTTCACCACAATTAAAAAAAAAAAAAAAACCTGAGAAAAGTTCTGCTTCATCATTATATATGTTGTTTTTCTTGCAGTGTTTTATGAGTATAACTAGCATAATATAACTTTCGTAACGAGGGGTACTTTTTTTTTTTTTTTAACTTTTCATTGTGATTTAGGTGCAATTTTACAACGAAGGGTACTCTTAAGGGCATCTATCAGATTCTATTAATTGTCTGTGCTATGGTGCTATATCATACATTGTGGGGAGTGGGAGGTTACTTAATAGGAAAATGATACTATACCAATTTCTTCATGTATGAGGGCACCAGTGATCTCCTAATTGCCAAATATTCTTTTTAAAATGCTTCGTCCTCTTGGTTTTTCTCTCTCCTTGATGTTAAATATTTCTTTTAAAGTTTTCTTGTGCTTTAACTTTTGTGACTTCACTGTCTACTGTCTTGTGATATTTCAGACTACTATTATTAATTTTTCTACCGGTTCCTTTTTCAAATTTTTAAATGAAAATATTTTCCTTGGTTCCTTTAACTCCCCCTTTTCTTTCCTATGAAGGAGCCCTGGTGGTGCAGTGGTTAAAGTGCTGTGCTGCTAATCAAAACGTTGACAATTTGAACCCACAAGCCACTCCGTGGGAGAAAGATGAGGCAGTCTGCTTCCGTAAAGATTTACAGCCTTGAAAACTATATGAGACAATTCTGTTCTGTCCTATATGCTTACTATGAGTCAGAATCAAGTCAGTGTCAATGAGTTTCTTTCCCAAATTACAAATTCACCTGTACTTTGTAACCTAGTTCCATGGCTTCAGTGGCCTCCTATATAGTCCCAACTTGGTATTTCTTATCTCTCCTCTTATCCTAAACTCCATCTGCTTGTTTCTACTTGCTTATGGGACATTTCCATCTGGATAGACCACATTTATTTTTCTTAGTAAACACAATTTATGAAGGATTTACTATATATGCCAGCTATTGAGGTAGGGAATATAAAGTTAAAATAATTGTTTTTGACCCTGAAGAGATTTCAGTTTAATAGGTAACATGATGTTGTTGTTGTTATGTGCTGTCAAGTCGGACCTGACTCATAGCGACCCCTCCTTGGGTTTCTGAGGCAGTATCACTATGGAAGTAGATTGCCCCATCTTCCTTCCGAGGAGTGACTGGTGGGTTTGAACAGCCAGCCTTCTGGTTAGCAGTCAAGTGCCTTAGCCACTATGCTACCAGAGCTTCCAGGTAACATGATAGGCACTTCTAATTCAGAGTCTATAAAAATCAGGATCTGCAAATTCAGATGTTTTCAGGAGCTAGACAGATAATATGTATATTAGCATACTCATTCTAGTGAAACAACGGGGAGAAAGTAAGAAGTGATGAGGTCTTTGGAAAACTAGAGAGCAATTTCTGTGTAAAAACTATGACTTTTTAAATGTTGGCAATGCATTCAAATGTTTTTAAAACGTTAGAGCTGTGCAGACCAAATAAACATGTCCAAATTTGGATGTCGCCTTTAGGGGCCATCAGTTTGCAACTTATGGTAAAAAGTGATTTTTGTGATCATTCCCTAAACCTGCTCTTTGTCCTCAATCTTTATTCTACTTTTTATCTGTTTGCATTAAAAATGTAGTGTGTCATGTTCTTTCTTAGTAATTGTTTTCATTGGAACAAAAATTGTTCACTGTAGTTTTAATTTTTGAGTGGGGAAGAAATTTTTTTTTCATTTCTTTTGTAAGGTAAACTTTTTTTTTTTTTTTTAATTGTGATTTGGATGAAAATTTACAGAACAAATTCACTTTCCATACAGCAGTTCACATACACGGTGTCTCATGACATTGACTACAATTTACCACAGTGCAACAGCTCCCCTCCCACTACCTCCTGATGGTTAACTCTTCCCTGTGTCCATCCCTCCATGTACTCCTGCTTCCTGAGCTGTCTCCTTGTACATAAACAGTCTTTCTTTCTCCCATGACTGTTCTCTCCAAGGAGTGTATCTACCTCAGGTAAATGTTCAACTCCTATGCCTGTCTTTTGTTTGGCTGGAAGCCACAGGTGTGGGTTCAATTCCATACCTGAAGGGTAGCTAGGGGCCATAGTCTCAGTGGTTCCACCAGGCTCTATCAGACCAGCAAACCTGGTCCACTGTAAGGTAAACTTTTTATATAATGATAAAAAACATAAATATATAGCAGTTCATTATCTTCAGAACCTATAGTTTACCACTTTTTTTTTCTCTGTATCCTTAGTTACACATAGGAAATGTTTATGAAGCTGGAAAATTGAACCTCTTAACAGTTATTCAGTTATTAAATGAAGTCTTGAAAGTAATGAAATATGAACATTGTCAAGCTGACCAAGCAAGACTGACAATAGACCTTCACTACCTTGAAAAAGAGACCAGGTTTCAGAGAGAAAGATTATCAGATCTGAAGCATATGAGGTACACTGGAAAGATCTTCTGATATTTTACTGGGGGAGGATTAAGGTGGCTTTAATAACTTCTCAGCAAAACTTGTATATAATTATTCCTGGCTTTTTCAGACAAGTGTGAAAATTTTATTAGAACTCAAAAGCTTTATTTGATTAATTCCCAGGAGAGACACAGAAAGTAGAAAGAAAAATTAATGTTTTCTCTTTTTTCTGGTATAATTTTCTTGCTGAGTAATATTTTTATGATAAAATTTTAAGTTTTCTTCTGTGGACTTTACTAGTAAAAAGGGGCCTTTGAAATTTGGTATCTGAGCAGAAAGATTGGGAGATATGAGATACCATTAGGAATGGATAGAGTGTGGAAGTAGAGTTTTGACTAAGTTTAAAACCAAAAAACCAAACTCACTGCTGTCAAGTCGGATCTGACTCATAGCGAATGCTCTTTGGGTTTCTGAGGCAGTAGCACTACGGAAGTAGATTGCCCAGTCTTCCTTCTGAGGAGTGGGTGGCTGGTGAGTTTGAACCTCCAGCTTTGTGGTTAGCAGTCAAATGCCTTAGGCACTATTGTGTTACAAAGATAAATGGGGCAATAGATACATGATTGCTTTCTGAACTTAAAAAGGAAAAAAGTGCATTAGGCCTGTATTCACTTTTGAGCATTTATTCAATTTAAAGTTCTTTGAACTTTGATTTATATTTCCTTCCCCTTCTCTACAACCATCATTGCTTTCTTAAATTTGACTCAGTATCTTTTGTGTATTCATAATTTGGATAACTTTTTTTCTTTTTTTAAAATGCTATCATAGGTATAAAATAAAAGAAGATCTTATAACTATAAGACATTCTATTCTTGAGAAACAAGGAGAATGGTATAAGAAGTGGGGAGAATTTCTTGGTCTGTCTCCTTTCAGTCTAATTAAAGGTTGTACTCCAGTAAGTAATATTGACCTCATTTTTGTAAAGTGGTTTGACATAAGGCAGTCTCTTGAGTCATGTCACAAATGACCCGGAAACGCTATTTGTATACATATTTGTCATCTTTGCATTTGAGTCTAAAATTCAAATGTTTTGTTTTCTGTATTTTTTCTAAATATGTATATTAGAATATTCATTAAACAGCTGTTGTGACTTGCACTTAATGCTTTCAGATTCAGAGGAATGTCTTAATAGGAAAATGAAACATTCCTCCTGATGTGAGGTAGTTGGAGGATGAAGTAATCCCCTGGTTCCTAATATTATACTCCTTGGTTTAAAAAATAGTTCTAAGATAGTTTATATGTTTGGTAATTCTGTTTTTGTTAGAAAATAATGAAAATCATAGATTAACTTAGCAATGTTATCGTGATAGTGAGTAAAATGTGTATACTTCAAATTGTGAATTCTGTGTTGTTTTAAGGCTGTGGATCTTTTACCACCTATGTCTCCCCTTTCATTTGATCCTGCCTCGGAAGAAGTATATGCAAATAGTATTCTTTTTAAGTATCCTGCTTCACTTCCAGGTTGGTTACTTATCTTTTTCTCTTTTAAACCTCCTTCCAATCAATATTTCTCACTGTGATAATAGTTCCTTTCCATTTCCTTTTGTTTTTTTCCCAAATTTTTTTATTGTGGTAAAATGCACGTAACATAAAATTCAACATTTCAAGCATTGCAAAGTGTACAACTCGGTGACATTTAGTAACTTTACAATGTGTACAATCAACTACTGCCTCTATCTAGTTTCAGCATATTTCCATCACTTTAAGCAATTCCCTGTACTCATTAAGCAGTGACTCCCATCTCCTTATCCTGCACATGGCAACCATGTACATTCTTTCTGTCTCTATGGATTTGCCTATTCTGGATAGTTCATATAACTGGAATCATACAATATATTGGCTTTTGTGCTTGGCTGTTTTCACTTAGTACATTTTAAGGTTCATCCATGTTGTATCATGTATCAGCCCCCATTTTTTTGTCTTTTTTTTAAAACAGCTTTATTGAGATATAATTCACATACCATACAACTCGTCCATTTAAAATGTACTATTCAATAGTTTTTAATATATTCAGTGATATATACAACCAGTCAATTTTAGAATATTTTCATCACCTCAAGAAGAAACCCTGTATCTTTTAGCTATTACCTCCATTGTCCCCTCACCTACCCCTTAGACCAAAAAAAACCTGCCATGGAATCAATTCCACTTCATTCTACCCCTAAGCAACCACTAATCTACTTTCTGTCTCTATAGATTTCCCTATTCTAGATTTTTACATCAATGAAATCATGTAATACAGGGACTTTTGTTTCTGGCTTCTTTTTTTTTAGCTTAATGTTTTCAAGGTTCATTAAAGTTGTAGCTTGTGCTAGTACTTCAAATGCTATTTGACTGTATACATATACTACATCACGTTTATTCATTGGTCCATTGATGGACATTTGGCTTGTTTCCAACTTTTAGTAGAACTTTTCAGTGGTGAATAATGCTGCTATACATGTCCATGTACATATTTGTGTATGGAAGCTCTGATTTTTTTAACATGCTAGAATAGTAATTACCTGGATACCTATCACCTGTTTCAACAAATAACATTTTGTCATATTTATGTATGTATAAATTTTTGCTAAATAAAATAAGTTCTGCACACCTTGGCACTTTAAATATTTTGGCATACAGTCCCCTAAAAAATAAGGATATTCTCCTATATAAATGCCACATCATTATCACACTTAAAAAATTAACAATAATCCTATAATCCTCTCATGTCCTTTCATACTGAATTTCCACAGCTGCCATTCCATTATCACTTACATAATTAATGTCTCTTTAGTATCACGTTGGGCAATCCTACTTCTGTAGTGATACTGCCTCGGAAACCCAAGGAGGGGTCGCTATGAGTAGGGTTTGACTCGACGGCACATAACAACAACAACAACAAATTATCACTACTAGGAGCTCTGGTGGCGTAACGCCTAAGGCATTTGACTGCTAACCAGACGGCTAGTGGTTCAAACCCACTAGCCACACCTCAGAAGGAAGACAATCTACCTCTGTAGTGTTATAGCCTTGGAAACCCAAAGAGGGGTCACCATGAGTCGGCTCTGACTCCACGGCAGTGGTTGCCTGGCCTTTAGTATCATTACTTTAATCCCCTTTTTAAGGTTAGAGCTACCTTTGTAGTACCCTGGCCTTATGGAAGCCTCTTAGTTTCAGATCCTGGCCTGAAATGGGAGAATTAAATCTCCAGTGTCCTGCTTTTGGAACCTGATTTACTGGTTCCTGGTTTCTTGGTTTGAACTTTTCATTCTATTTATGGTTTTTGTATTTGATTCTGACGTGATAGTTTTTATTTATTCTTTTGGGCATTCCTGAAAAATAATTTAAAAAAAAATTATTTAGCAGTTCTGGAGTGTTTGTGGTAGGAGTCAGTGTCTGCTTTAGCTTGGTTTACTCTTTTGTGGGGAGTTTAAGTTTGTTATTACCTCCTGAATGCTCTGTGTTGTCTGCCTTCTTTTCTATTCCCATATCTTGGTTTCAGTAGTTCAGTTCTCATAATTTCTTGTGTTCTAACAAGTTACTCTGTTATTTAACCTATTTCATATTACATATGGTAATTGGTGATCTTTCCGTAATATAAATATGATTGTTTTCATTTCCTGGTATAAAATGTATTAGGGATTTCCTGTTGCCTTTAGCAAAAAATAAGCTCTAGATGCCGTTCCATTAAGGAACTTTTACCTTACGAACCTATATGCCAGAACAAACATGCATCAACTCTGCTTATGCTTATGGTGTTTAACATTTGTGGCTGATCATTTTAGTTTCTGGTTGTCTACTAGTTTTGTGGTGTAGTTGTCATATTTGTGCTAATTTTTGAGATGTCTTTTAAACATCACTAATTCCATCATATTCAATATATAAGCAGAGCTACTGAAGATTCTTTGAGAAAAGGCACACTGTTTTTTCATGGAAACAAAAATAAAAGTTTGTGTAGTAGTTTTTTAATAAAGTGACACTTTGGACACATGTACACATCGACGTAAGGAAAACCTCTCAGAAACTAACATGTTGAAAGAGGAGGCGCCCCTGGGATATAAAATTCCCTGGAATCTAGCCTTCACCCATCCCCATGTCTCACCATGCTTCCACTGGATGTAGTCAGTTCCCTAAAATGCTAAACTCATACTTTATTTTCTTAGTACTTTCATGCCTTTTTCCCATACATCTTGTCAGGGCCAGTTACCTCTCTCCTTCCTTGTACTCTGTGCATAGTTCTATAATAATATTGTGACACTTTAACATAATTCTTCACTCAAGAATGTTTTTTCCTATACTGACTCTTTAATGGCAAGAACTCTGTCTTTGCTCAGTTTGTATTTTTTAATGACAAGTGTATATAGTTGTATACCATTCAGTCAGTTTTGACTCAAAATGACACTGTATGACAGAGTAGAACTGCCCTGTAGGGTTTCTTATGCTGTAATCTTTTCTTTCTTTCTTTTTTTTTAATTGTGATCTGGGTGAAAGTTTGCAGAGCAAATTCACTTTCCATACAGAAGCTCACATACACTTTGTCTCATGACATTGAGTACAGTTTACCACTATAAATTACCACAATAGCTCCCCTTCCATATCCTTCCCATAGTTATCTCTTCCTGTGTCCTTCCTTCCATGCACTCTTGCCCCCTGAGCTGTCTCTCTGTGAATACACAGCCCTTCTATTCTCCCATGATAGTTCTCTCCAAGTAGTGTATCTACCTAAATACAAATGTTCACCTCATATGCCTATCTTTTGTTTATCTGGAAGACAAAGGAATGGATTTAATTATAGACCTGAAGGGCATGTAGGGGCCATCGTCTCATTGGTTCCATCAGGCTCTATCAGACCAGCAAACCTGGTCCCCTTTTTTTTTTTTTTAAGGATTTTGAGTTTTGTTCCATCTTGTTCTCCCATTCTATCCAGGATCTCCTATGTAGATATCCCCCTGAGTGGTTGACAGTGGTAACCGTAGTCATATAAGCTGAGGATCGCATGGTGTACCAGTCACTTGGACTGATTGTTTCCATGAATCTTTGGTTTTCTTGATTCTTCTTTGCTCTGGATGAGAAGAGACCCATCGTTGCATCTAGATGCTTGCAAGCTTTTTAAGATCCCAGTCGCTACTCACTAAATAGGATGTGGTCTAGGCTGTAATCTTTATGGTGGTAGTAGATCTCTCTAGGTCTTTTCTCCCATGGAATGGCTGATGGGTTTGAACTGCCAACCTTTTATTAGCAGGTGAGCACTTAACCATTGCGCCACCAGGGGCCTTTAGGACTCTGTCTCTCTCTCTTTTTTTTTTTGTTTTTTTTCAGTCTCCCATTGTTACTACAATTGCTGGCACTTAGTTATTCAGTGATATGTTGATGAATAAATTTGGAGTTGTGACGTCTTTGATACTGGGCTGGAATATGCTAATGCAAAAAGTGCAAGGAGGCTACATGTTCTGATCTCCTCTAATCCTACAAGAGGAAGACAAAATCACCATCAATAGCCCAAGGCCTATTCCTGCGAGGCCAGACATACTGCCTCCCTCCAGCCCTTTCTCCAACTGTTCCTCCCAAAGCACCACCACCTTCTGGGTTCGATAATTCACTGCAGTGGCCACACAGAAGTCACAGATTATGGGGTTTATTAGGGAAGCACCAGGCTACAATTCAAGTTAAGAAAAAAACGCTCAGTCTCTCTCCCAGCCCACCATCTCTCAGCCAAGTCTCTCACAGTCTCTTCCCCAGCAGTTCATATCCCTCGGTGTCTTACTCAGCAATGCATGTCTCTTGCGTCTCTTTCCCAGCAGCACATGTCTCAGGAGTGCGTGTCTCTTTCAGCAGCACATCTTCCTCAGCCAGCAGTCACTAGGAGGCCTCCCTTTGAGCCTGGCAGAGTGGCCAAACTAGCCAATCATAGCATCAGAACTCTAAGCACCTGAGAGGCCTCCCTTTGAGCCTGGCAGAGTGGCCAAACTAGCCAATCATAGCATCAGAACTCTAAGCACCTGAGAGAGTGGGAACCTCCCAGAACATTGTTTTGTGCCACTCCCAACAGAAGTACTCCAGGTGGACAACTTTAGTAAACAGGAGCTCCTCAGTTGCTCGTAGCAATTTCCACCTTGGAGTTTACAAAGACTTATGGGTAGGAAAGCCACACTAAGTAATTTACTACACTGCAGCTAAATAATGTAAACTTTTGGCCTTGTTGTTGGCTTTTGTGTAATTGTATGATCTGTGTACTTCAATTTGAAATGTGGTCATATTAGTGCTGGAGAATTATGGATGGTCACTGTTTTTGGGACTTTGGTTTAGTGTGACTATGAGTCGGGGCCGACTTGACGGCACATAACAACAACAACAACAACAACAACATCAGTCTTTATAAAAGCCTACTACTGGATATGCTCTATTAGTGCCCTGGCCATCACTTTATCCTTAACAGTGAGTAATTATCTTTTCCTATTAGCCTTTTTATTATTCTGATTTTTTATTTTCTTTTGTTTAGAAGTTGCTCTAGAATTTCAAGAGATCTTTGAATATTAAAATATATTAACATAATTAAAGAGTAATGAATTTTTCTACTCTTTTAGATACAACTAAACAATGTAACCAAAAAAATGATTGCAGAAGAGAGGATGATACACGGAAAGTTGTAAATGAGATAGCCAACAGGTAAAACAAATTTGATTCCTTTTTTTTTTCTTTTACAAATTTGATTCTTGTATTGATTATTTTCCTTTATTAATTTTAGTCCCATCTTAAGCCATTTTCCAAAACTTCTCTACTATGAGATATTCCATAATTCTTCCCTTTTAACTGGACAGTATTTTTCCAGTGTGGACCCACATTGTCAGAAAAGATTCAATGTTTCTGATGCAGAGACAAAATTTTTTTTTTCTATTCTTTGTCTGAAATTTGGTTTTGTGGGGATTACTTAATTAAAAAAAAAAAAAGACAAAAAAGGATGGAAAGTATCTAATGCAAGTTTGGGGAGTTTTGCCATTTTGTGTTTTTGAATTTATTTGAAATCATGCTGTGACCGTTGATTAAATCTGTAAATTTAGGAGCCTTCGAAATTATGTTGTTGTTAGGTACTGTGGAGTTGGTAATTTTCAGATTATATCCTGCAGCACCCCCTGGTGGTGTGGATGAGTTCCAACATCAACCTGAACAGCTTTCTTTTTTATTTGTATTATGTATTGGAGGAGCCCTAGTGGCACACTGGTTAAAGCAGTTGGCTGATGACCAGAAGATTGGCAATTTAGACCCACCAGCTGCTCTGTTGGAGAAAGACGTGGCTTCTGTAAAGATTTACTGCTTTGGAAACCCTTTGGGGTAGTTCTACTCTGTCTTATGGGGTTGCTATGAGTTGGAATTGACTTGACAGCAGTGGATATTATGTATTGAGGTTTTTACATGCCATTTGATTTAAAAAATTCCATGCTTAAAGAAGAAATTGGAAGATTTTTGATTTAACCTCACCTTAAAATTTAATAGATAAAATCTGAACCTACTTAGTTTGTAGTAACTTGCTTCAGGAAGTTATTTTTCTGTTGCCTCTTTTCTATATCATCCCATTTTGGCTCTTAAAACTGATAACAGATTATATTAACTAAAATCTGAAAAATAAATGTATGTAACCCATATGGGAAATATATTTGTTCTTTACTGAAATTAAGTATTACCAAGTAGTACTCAAACACAGACAAACTGAACAGATTCTCTTCTAACTATTTTGTTTTTTTCTGATTTACCCTTTGACATAAATAGGTGTTTTTTAGTTCAATGTACCCAAATAGATGAGAGACAAATACAGAAATAAAATACTGAGGAAAATCCTAAATTTTAAATGAATGGAAACAGTCTTCATTCTGTAATCTCTTAATCCACCATAACAAAAGTCAAACATTTTATGTAAAATCTAGCTATTGGCAGTTTCTTCTTTAGTCACTTTCTGCTTGACAGGATGTCAAGACTGCTTGTAGAAGAATTATGTTTTTATTCTTATAGTGAATGTGATGTTGATTTTCTGAGTACCTAAAGATAAATAATGAAATCATCTATAAAGACCCAATTCTGAAAAGGAATAAAGTTATTGGGCTTGCCCTTTTACCCTCTTATCTCAATTGCTCTTTCTTATAGCCTGCTAGAAGGAGCTCTGGTAGCATAATGCCTAAGGCACTTGACTGCTAACCAGAAGGCTGGCGGTTCAAATCC